ATTTTTCTATGTAACAGTCATGTTATTAGAACAACTTTTTCTTCCTTCCCAATCAGTGAGCCTTTTAGTATATTTGCAGCCAAGGGGTGTGCTTGATGTGCTTTTAACTTTATTTTCAGGGAATTCTTAGAAAGTCTTCCTTTTAGTAAGATGTAATCAGCATCAACAACTTATACAGCCATGAACATTGAACCCCTAAGTGCTAAGCATCAGACTAGGAACTCTTTTGAGAGTAAAAAAATCTTTATGGTTTTTTCGTTGAGTGGTATCTTTGCTGTGTTTGTTAAGTTCAAGCCCATGTGCTGATGCCTCAGTCCCTCTCATTTTATCTTTATTGCTGCTCATTTTAAAGACTGTTCCCAGAATTCACTCCTCATTCATATTCAGAATTCTGACTTTGCACTGTAGACAAAGAAAAAAGAACCAACAAGCCAATTCTGTTATAGAAGAGGTGGATTGAATCATAGTTCTTGGGCTAACCAATTAACGCTCTTATTCCTTCTCATTTGTTTTTTAACAGATGTGATGTTTACTGGTACAGCAGATGGCCGGGTCATAAAACTTGAAAATGGAGAAGTGGAGACTCTTGTCCGGTTTGGTTCAGGCCCATGCAGTAAGTCCATGAAAGTTTTTCATTAGCATGTCCTCTGACAGTGACTGTATGTCTCTTATAGTCATTGAAAAATATGCCAAAACGTCCTCTTTTTGTAACATTATTTCCCCAAGTCAGATTCTGCCATGTAAGAAAGGGTATGCCTGCTACATGGCTGGGTTGTTGTGTGAACTCTTCATTGTCGTTGTGGTCCCTGGTCCTCTCAGTGCCTGACTGCCCACTACACTTTCCTAGCTAGGCAGTGGCCATGGTAACATGACTGCCTCACAGGACCTGTCCCCTTAGTAGTGTGCATATGCTAGTGTTTACCTTTGAGGTACCTTTGGAGAAGATTAGTAGGCATTGCTTAGAGTAGTGTTGTAGAAAGCAGTTGGCTGTGTTATTACTTTGATGCTTAAATGTAGTTAATTCCTGTATTAGCTTCTCAGGAGAAGCATTCAGAGTGAAAATATGCTAAGTCACTCAGATTTTGGAAATCTAGATTAAAGAATTTACTGTTTAAGAACTGGTAGTCCAGAGACCTTATATTTTTTCATGTACTGTGGGATTCCTGTGCAAGCACAGCGAATATGCATTGCCACAGGTTTAAAAACAAGTAGGTAGTGAAGTGAGATAATTAATCTAGGGGTTAAAATAGCTTTTCCTAGATGCCAGTTGGAGAGAGCATTCTCTTGCTTTTAGAAGGTTGCACTTTTCAGGTCAGGCTATAATATTCAGGTCAGGCTGTGGGTTTAAACCTGAACCACTCAGGTTTTAGTGGATTCTGATGTTGGGCCTAGGTCCTGATAATCTTCCGAGTTAACTCTTTATGTGTCAGAATGAAGTGCTGGGTGCCAAGGGCCATGGGTAAAACCTTGGACCAGCCACTGATTTCTGCCCATTTGTGTTCCTAGAAACCCGAGATGATGAACCTGCTTGTGGGAGACCCCTGGGTATTCGGGCAGGACCCAATGGAACTCTTTTTGTGGTTGATGCCTACAAGGGACTATTTGAAGTAAATCCCTGGACACGTATGTGACAATATCTTATTTCCCTGTGTCATGATTTCAAATCTTTTAAGCAAAATGTACATGACTTACTAGAAGTGTTTATATACAGTCTTCTGTATACCCTAATATTCTCTTATTCATTGAATAGTACTGAAAGCATTGCCTAAAAATAGCAATTAATAGTAAACACCATAAAACTTCCTGCACATAGCTTCATTAGTACTCCAGTTACTTCTAGTATTTGTATTGTAGCCAGAGGTTGTCAAAGGGCCCATTTTAAGGATGTTTGAATTCCTTTTTTATGTTTTCCTGTCCCGTTGTCTTGCATTTCTGTTTGTTTTCTGCCAGCCTTCCCTTTTTTTTTTTCAAAGATTTATTTATTTATCATACAGAACTGGGGTACAGGCCAGAGATGCGGAGGGTGAGAGGATTCACCAGAGACAGAGTGGGGAGCAGAGCAGGCAGATCGACGAAGTACACTGTTGAGGGGAGCAGCGGGTGGGTCAGGAGAGGTCTACTGCGCCATGTGGATCTCCTCCAGGACAGGTGGGGATTGAACTCATGAGGAAGTGGCTTAAGCTTCTTAGTGCTGTGCTTTAACCTGCTGCGCCACCTGGGAGGGCCCCAGCCTTCCCTTTTTTCCTTCCCTTTCATCTCTTGTCTTCATTATTTTCTTTTTCTAGCTTCTCCTGTTTAGCTTCCCTGACTGGTTATGTCACCCAACCAGTGTTACAATGCTTGCTGTGTGTATAGAAGTAGGATGTTCCTGCTGTGGAAGTGTTTGTTACCATGGGTATCGGGTGCATATGGCTCTGGACTCTGCCATCTGGGCCTGTGCAACTATGCAAGTTCCTTGGTCTCTCTGCACCTTTTTCCTTATCCATAAAACAGAGATAATAGTGCTGCCTCATGCCAATATTGGGAGATATAAGTGAGGTTATACATTCAGAATTTAGCACTCTATAAATGTTACTTTTATTACTAAAAAAAATTCCTACTGGTGGTATTTCCTTATTTAAAAGTAGATGATTGGAACATTGTATATTTCTCTCAAATAAACAAGTAGAACTAAATTGTCTTTTATCTAAGACTTTTTTTTTTTT